ACCAAAGAAGACATTCAGATGGCCAACAAACACATGAAGAAATGTTCAAAATCCCTAGCTCTAAGAGAGATGTAAATCAAAACAACTACATCATCTCACCCCAGCAAGCAGAACAAAATTTAACAGAACAGCAAACAACAAATCCTGTCAAGGTTGTGGAGAAACTGAAACCCTTATTCACCGTTGGTGGGAGTGTAAAATGGTGAAACCACTATGGAAGGTAGTATGGCGCTTTCTCAAAAAGTTGCAAATAGAGATACCACTTGACCCAGCAATTCCACTACTGGGAATATACCCCAAAGAAAACATAACCTTCACCCAAGCAGATATATGTACACCCATGTTTATCACGGCTTTGCTGACAATAGCAAAGAGCTGGAAACAACCCAAGTGTCCATCAACAAACCATGGATAGAGAAGCTCAGGTATATTCACACAATGGAATACTATGCTACATTGAAAAACAAGGAACTTATGCAATGTTATTCAAAATAGGTGACCCTGGAGGACATTATGCTAAGTGAAATATCTCAGTCACAAAAGGACAAATATTGCATCATGCCACTGTTGTAAAATAGGACTGATTTCGGGGCTGGGGGGAGACTGAGGAAGATGGGATAAATAATGTATACTGCATTGAAACAGATGAGGGAGAGAACTGTTTACAAGGGATAGGTATTATTTACAATTTACAATTAGGTATTATTGTCATGAAAGGAGTCCAGAACGAAGGGTGCATAGTGGAGTGGAGTGGACTTGGGGGGAGGGATTCTTTAACAATGAAAGAATTTTTATTCTACTTTTCAAAGAGAAGAGAGAACTGGGGCAGAGGGGTGGGCAGAGAAAAGTGCCACAATGAATGAGTGGAAATCCAAAGTCTCTGTACACTCTCATTAAAATTAATAATAAAAAAACTGCAAAAGAAAGACATAATAATAGGTATGACCAGATTTGTGCTTTTTAAAGAAAAGACTTTAGTTCGGAGAACAGAAAGGAGAAAGTCTTAATATAGAGTGAACATTCCTAAGTCATTGTGCTGATCTAAGTGAGAGACTGCAAATTTGTCTTGGGCTTGACGACAACTATGGTGATGAAAAAACTATTTAGAGAGGTCAACTGCACAGGGAGGGGACAAAGAGCATATGAGAAGTCAACCAAAACTTAAATTCTCTAGCTTTGGGCTATCAGACAGAGTGAGTAAAGGAACTATCCAGCAAGACAGAAAAAAAAGAAATCAAGGAAGGACTAGTTTTGGAAGGACAGACAGACTTTGACTTACTTACTTTAGACTCATCATCAGGAAAGACCAATCACTAGGAAAAGACATCAAGGTTGGTTAGTTACAATGAAAATGAGGAAAAGCTTCATTAAGATGAGGTGACAAAGCAGCTCCAACAATGGACTTAAACTAAAGGACTAATAGACCTAGATTAAAGAAAACTGTCTAGGACCAAACATTTGGTTCTACAACATAGAAGGTCAAAAAGCACTGATGGTGCAGTAAAGTAGGACTTTATGCTGCCAGCGCAAAGGCATGATGCTAGAATACATCAGTTAGTTGTTATTCCATAGGAGGAACCACAGAAATATGGGCAATCCCCTCCTGTGGGAGTTACAGTCTACTGAAGGGTCAGCTGTTAGCTGGTTCAGACTCAGCAATGATTGAGTTAATGACAGGGTACACAACAACAGTAACTTTCCATTCCTTGGAAAAAGACTCAAGTTTAAAAAGGTGGCAGAGCAGCAAAGATCCTTAATGAGATTAACTGACCTAGTGACTACCACCACAATGGTCTCAAATATATCAGAGATAGTGAAGATGGCACAGGACAGAGCAGAGTACAGATCTGCAGTTCATATGGTAGCTATGGGCTGCAGCAGACATGATGGTACCTAAATACAATAATATTAAAATGAGTAAGGATGAAAGAAGAAGAATGATGTCTCTGAAATGTTGGTGTTAGAAAAGAGCACTGAATTTTCATCTGTCTTGGTGGAAGCATAAGCAGGGTGATCCTTTAGAAGGAAGGATGGTGGCATTCTCACATACTTTGGGTATGTTTTGAGTCCTCTGAAAAAGGACTTCATGCTGGGAAAGGAGGGGAGTCAGAGAAAGAGAGGAAAACCCTCAACTAGATGGACTGACATAATGACTATAAACAATGGGCTCCAGAATATCAGAAATTACAAATATAATGTAGGATAGTGCAAGGTTTAGATCTGTTGTAGTACTCAACAGTACATAAAAAAAACAACTATATGGAAACCATGTTTCCTGTCCTTGTAAATAAGCCAACACTATACATAAAAGCAATACAACATCACAACTTTCATTCATTTCTACTAAAATAAATTTGTTTCTTAGAAAACTCATCAAATTTACTATCAAAATGAATACATTTCTTGACTTTGTGTGAAACATGACAGACCAATCAGAATACAAAGAACATTTTGAGAAATTAAGTTATCCAAATCATTAACTACATATAGCAATGAAAACTAAGAATCACACATGTATGCATAGAGCATGTCATCATTTTCACTAATACTTACCAAGCCAGCAGTAAGAGAAGGTGCAGACTGTCCAAGAGATTGATTTCTCATTCGAACCAGGTTTGATGCTTCCCCTGAAGACTGCCAAGTCACCTGCCCAACACTATTGTGTACACTGCTGGACAATGGGAGCAGCTGCTTACCTTTAAACACAAGTTTGAAAAATACACTTGTCATTATTTATTAATAAGGAATAAAAACATAAATATAAGGATAAAAAATATATTACTAAGTCAAAACAGTCACGTTCCTATACAAACATAGAAAATCACTGTAAAAGTTCCAACTAATTATTGATAAGGAGAATTTCCAATGGAATACTGCACTAAACACACAATTTTTTTTTTCTCCCCTTGTTGTGTATCATCAAATTGGATCCAACTGGCACGGGAGGAGATCAACTCTTTTCTCAAGCAGAGCATCTGGTGGATTTGAACCACGTGCCTTCAGGACTGAAGCGCAGCTTCTTAAATTCACAATTTTAAATTCTTCTGTAAAATATACCAACATACTAACCCTTAATCTAGACTCCTCAACTAGCAGGTTTACAGCAATGACAAACTCAAAACTCAAACTAAGTGTAATGGAGCTGACTTTGCCATGGGTTTTCAGAAGCTGCAAATCACAAGGGAGAAGATTGTGGATCTTTTTACCCTGGAGTATATGCTGGATTTTAACCACGTCATTCTATTGGTAGTCCAATTTATTACCCACTAGGCCAACAGAGTTCCCTATGAGCTTTCTAGTCCCATCCAATGCAACATAATATGAATATAGCAATTCGAGATAATTAATCTACATTGCTTTTGTAAGGTTTTATATCTCAGGTCCAGATTAACTGATTAACTCAAAAGGCTTAATCCTATTAAAATACTACAAAAGAGTTACTTATAGAAAATTGAGTATTTAGAATTACAATGATCTCCTGAGGTCACCCTTTCTACCCTTGCCAGTCTTTCTTCATACTGTAGCTAAATGACTAATTAAAATCAATTAAGCCATTCTCTGACGTAAAAAGTGATTACTTCCCAAAGCCAAATTGTTGTTGTTGTTATGTTGTTATGTGTCTAGTCGTTTGTGACTCATAGCGACCCTATGTACAAAAGCCCTAAACCCTGCTCTATCTTGTGCCAATCGCATTGCCTCTGACACACCCATCCCGATTACCCCAGTCATACCCACCTCATAGAGGGTCTTTCCCTCCTGCGCTGTCCCGTCTACTCTACCCAGCATGATGTCCCTCTCTAAGGACCTGTCTCTCCTTACAACATGTCCAAAGTATGTCAGACGAAGCCCCAGAATTCTTGCCTCCAAAAAGCAGCCTGGTTTAACCCTCTCTAGGATGAATCTGTTTGTTTTCTTGGCAGTCCATGGTATATTCAATA